ATGCAGGAGATCACCAAGCACTTTGTCGTCTGCCATGTGGATGCGCCAGGGCAGCAGGTGGGAGCGTCCCAGTTCCCTCAGGGGTGAGTGCGGGCCGGGCTCCTCTTCTCCACCAAAGGCCCCGGGGTTTGCCCCGGGGGGGGCATGTGTGTGTGTGTGCGCGCAGAGGAGGGCATGCTCTGAAGAGCGGCCATTCCAGGAACTCTCCCTCTTCTTGCGAGGTCTGGGGAACGCGGGGTTGCCACGCGCATGGCCTGCATGCATCCAGAGCCCAAAGGGTTTTGTTGGTCAAAGAGGGGTTGATCACACGTGGCCCAATCTTGCTGAAGCGATGCGGGTGCCTCGTTGCACCTCTTCACACCCTGATCTTCTCACCGGTGAGGAGGGAGGGTTGCCGGGGCTGCTGGGCCGTGAATCCTGTGCGTGGCCCCGGATCGCAGCCACCTTGGGCAGACACAGGCAGCCGACGGGGCGCGGGGGGGGGCTGCTACGCAAACTCTGTGTGCTGCATAACTCCAGAGCTGGCCAGCTGGGGGAGGATGTGTCCTGTCCAGTGGCGTGTTTCTCCAGGGAGGGAGTGTCTCTTCCCGGGCATCTCCGTCTCCAGGCAACGCTCTAACCTCCCCCCCCTCTCTCCCCACAGGTACCAGTATCCATCCATGGACCAGCTAGCTGCCATGCTACCCAGTGTGGTCCAGCACTTTGGGTGGGTTTTGCATCCCCAATATTTTCCCCTTCAGTGTAATATAACGGGACAGCATAGGACGCTTGCGATGCTGCTCCCGGTTTTGAATTTGACAATGACCAGAAGACTTCCCTCTCTCCCCCCTCCCCTCACCAAGACTCAGATGTTCTGGGGTTTTGGCTCCCATAGACGCTCTTCCTTGGCTATGCCGGCTTGGACTGCCGGGCATGAAAGACCACGGGGGGGGGCACAGTGGAACCGCCTCTGCTCTAAGGGCAGCCTGGAAGAGGCATAGGAAGGGGAGGGAGAGACTCCTGTAGACGGGAGGTAGCCAGAATCTTGTGACATAAACTGTGTAAATCAGAGAGCGTAAACTGCAGGGGCAAACAGCCGGCTCGTATTCCTCTTTGTTCAACAAGTGCTGTGACTGGCATGTAGAGGGGAATACGGACCTTAACTTCTCAAGTAGCGGTAATTCGTAGATGGATGGGATTCGCAGGCCATAACAACAATTCCAGTAATGTCTCAGGGTCAATCAAGTAATGGGATAAATTGTTACTGATAGAAACAAAGAGGTTTATAGAACGGGTCAATGAGATAGAGTCACTTGTGTGGAAAACAGAATTGTGACCAGCTCTTGCCTCCTGAATTCTGCAAAGCCCGCGATTCATGAGTTGAGGCCACCTCGAGCGTCAGACTCTGGTCGGTCCAAACGATGGCCAAAGAAACCGAGACTCTCCTTCTTCTCTTAGGTTCAAGTGTGTGATTGGCATCGGAGTGGGAGCAGGGGCTTATGTGCTGGCCAAGTTTGCTGTAAGTACTGTAACCACCAAACTTGAGGGCCCTGTGATGGCGGGGGGGGCGGGAAGAGGGGGGTTCCTATGTGTATAATCTGGATCCCCGTGTGGTTCCTTCACCTCCTCGTCCTCCACCACCACCACCCCAAAGCTCCTGGGATAGATAGGTGGAACCAAGCCGAGGGACAGCTTGTTTCCTCCTCTGCTCCCGTGGGTCTGGGGACGTTCCTGTGGTCGGAAGAGGCGAGGGGAGGGTGGGTGTTTCTCTCAGCCGCTCCCCAGGGCCTGATCTCTATCCAAATGAGCTGAGAGAGGGAGGGTGAAGTCAGAGTCATGGAAGAAGGCCACTGGTTCCCAGGGAATGGGGGGGGCACGCGTGATAGCCTGGGGAGGAGAGGAGACCCTTCCTCGCTCCTCCGCAGGTGAGCCCTGGACTGTGATTGTACACCTGCAGCTCTTGTGTGAGGCCTTTCCCTGTGGGGGGCAGCCCCTCCCAGGCTCCCTTCTTGCTTTCGTGTCTTCGAGGATATCTCTGTCAAGCAGGCTGATCTCTGTTGGACTGTTTTTCTCTCTGGCTCCAGCTGATCTTCCCAGACCTGGTGGAAGGCCTTGTTCTGGTCAACGTGGACCCCAATGGCAAAGGCTGGATCGACTGGGCAGCCACCAAGGTGAGCAGGCTACTCTTCCCCAACAGATCTCCTTTTGATGGGGGATCCCTTGTCTCGAGCAGGGGGTTGGGCTTGATGGCCTCACAGGCCCCTTCCAAGTTCACCATTCTGTGATCCTCTGATCTCTCCTTTGCCCTCCCCTCCCTGCTGCTCCTCTAGTGGGTGGGCCAACAGATCCTGCATGCCAGCTACTGGGGCTACTAAGGTTCTGAAGGCAGAGGAGCCGGCTGGAGTGCACAAGGGGGGAGGACTGTTGTGCAAACAGTGAACTTCACCCCCACCCCCTTGCTCAGGGCAGTTGCCAAGTGTGAGAGCTGCACAGAGGGGAGGTCTGGGGTCTCAAAGGATATTTTAAGGGGCGAGCACGTATCCCAGACCTTAATGAAGGATCCACAAATACCACTTTGCTTGTTGGTGTAGCAATGTGTAGCCTGCAGGATTAAATCATAAGCCACCCAGAGAGGGCATTAAGCGCTATGAAGCAGGATAGAAGCTGCACACAAAGAGAGTGCCCGATGAAGGAGCAAATGCGGTGCGTGTTTGCTTGGGACCGGCATCGTCAGCCTGACCAATGGGACCGATGCCTGAATCTGCTGGCGAGGAATTGGACTATTCCCGATCATCGTGAGACAGTCTTTTATTGTGACCATCCTCTCTTTTCAATCCTCAGCTCTCTGGCCTGACCAGCACGCTGCCTGACACGGTGCTGTCCCACCTGTTCAGCCAGGTAGGAAAGGTGAAGCATCTGCCCCAGGAGGAGAAGCTGTCGGGGGCCGGGGGGGCGGGCAGGGCCCCATTGCTGTGCCGAGTCCTCTCGGCCCCTTTCCCAGAAAGATTAACAGGCAGCCTCGCCCTTCTGAGCAGCGGGGAGAAGGCCAGGGATTCCCACAAGAGGTGGGACTTCCAAATTTGACATCCAAATAGTAATTGTTTCATGGGACCTTGTTTGAAAACGAACTTGTTGCCAGTCTCCACTGCCAGACTGAAAAAGTGACTTGTTGCACCTGTTGCACTGCCTGGGCTTCTCTGTTGTTTTCCCCTGCTCAAAACAGCAACAAACGAACAACCACTAACAGGAAACATGGCAAACTGTCTCTAAAACGCTTTACAAATCTCCTTTAAAAGTAACTTTTGAAAGTCAACAGAAAGTGTTACTTTAAACACCAACAAAGCGGCTTCGCTCCTCACTGTCCTCGTGGCTTTATTGTTGCCACTGCCTTTGTCTTGGCCTGCTTGCGGAAGGAGAGCCAAGATGGGGCCAGCCTGGCCTCCAGTGGCAGGGAGTTCCAGAGTCTGTTTCCCGGGCCCCAACCTGTGAAAGGAGGGGGTGCCTAGAGAAAGGCAGGCTTGCCTAGAGAGACGTGTTCTTCCAAGTACATCGCTTGGACCCACGTCGTTTAGGGCTTTATAGGCCAAAACCAATACTTTGAACTGTGCCCGGAAACTGGCTGGCCGTTGGGTGACACCCCCCTCCCAACCTCCTTGAGCCCCACTCCTTCAGTCCACTTTGGGGGCTCCACACCCTCTGAGGCCCTCTCTTCCGGCCGCCCCATCTCCGTGTCTGCAGGAGGAGCTGGTGAGCAACACGGAGCTGGTGCAAAGCTACCGCCAGCAGATTGGGAGCCTGGTCAACCAGTCCAACCTGCAGCTCTTCTGGAACATGTACAACAGGTAAGGCCAGAGTGGCTGCTGGGGGTGGGGGTGGGGGGGGGGGGGTCATCATGGCCTGGCTCGATGAACCCTTTTCCTCCCAACATGTGGCTACCTCCCCCCCCTCTTCTTCTTTTATCGCTACTC